CGGGGCGCCCGCGGGGTCCGGGGGGCCGCTTTCTGCCCTGACGCGGGGCGGAGGGGGCGCGGGCGCGCGGCATGCTGAAGTCATTATGTAAAATCGGCGGCTTCCCCGCGGTGGAAATTTGGAAACGCGCTCCCACTGGCAGGCCCGGGAAAGGAAATTCCCACCCCGCCAAATTACTAACAGATTGCACGGCGGTCCCGGGGCCTCGGCGCGTCGTCATCTTCTTCTGTAAACACCCCGCCGCCCGCCCGCCGGTGGCAGGAGCCGGGCGCGGCGGGGCTCTGCCCGGCGGGGCTGGTCCCAGAGCCGGGGCTCCTCCGTCGGCCCCGCGGCCTCCGCGGCCAAGCGGGACCGTGTTTTCTCGTTGGCTTCGGACGGAAGGGTCTGGAGCGCGAGGGCGGTGGAAGCGTCTGGTGTAGAAAACCATAAATCTATTGCACGCCACCCTCATGCGGTGGAAAATAAACCCAAAAGCAAAAGCCTTGTCTGCAGCGAGGACCCGGGAGGCCTGCGGGACGCCGGTGGGTCCCCCAGACGACTCCAGGGTCGCGACTCAGGGGAATGAGGGGTGGGGCGACACGTGACCCGGGCGGGGGTCTCGCCAGCTAACCGAGCGCGACATTAAATAGGAAGGTGCCCAGCGGCGTCCACGCGACAGAACTGAAACCTCCCTGTCCCGGGGCTCCCGCCGGGCGGCCTCGCCCCTGGGGTGTCCTGGTGGGTGTCGCAGCGCTTTTAAGGTGTCACTACCTGTACTTCTGCTCCCACGCTGACAGCCGGGGCTGGCACGCGCCCGGGTGCCCCAGGCGCATGGGGAGCAGGGACCCCGCGTGGATGTCGTAGGGGGCGGGGACCCCGTGAGGCCACTGAGGCGGGGGGACCCCGTGAGGCCGCTGAGGTGGGGGTCCCCACGAGGCCACTGAGGCGGGGGGGTCCCCACGAGGCCACTGAGGCGGGGGGGTCCCCACGAGGCCACTGAGGCTTGGGGGACCGGGCGAGGATGCCGGATGCCGGCGGGAGGCGCGCGTCCGCGGCTGGAGGCCGCCAGGGGGCGCCAGGGCCGCGCCGCCCTCGCCCCCTCCCTCTCGCAAGACCTTTCCGCGCTCGGTCCTGGTGTCCCCAGACCCGGGTGCCAGGATTCTTGCCTGGAGAGTTTCCGTTTCCCGTCCCCCGCCCCCCCGCCGGGACTTTGCCTGGAGAGTTTCCGTCCCCCTCCCCCCGCCCAGGACGCGCGGGGAGTGGGGGGCCGAGCCGTCGGGGGGCGTGAGGGGAGGGCCCGCGGGTTGTGTTGCGACGGCCCCCCGCCCGCCTGTCCGCCCTTCGCGCCTTCGGAGGAGCCGCGGGTCCAACGGGGCCGGAGCCCACGGGACCCGCGCGGGGCGGGTGCGCCCTGCGCGGGGAGGGGCCGAGGCCGGGGGTGCTGTTGGCCGCGGTCGCCGCTCCTCCCCCCTCAATAAATAATTTTCACTCCGTCCAGAAAAGCTCTTTTCCTGTCTGCTCTCAATGCCCGCCTTATCCCCCGCCCGGGTGACGGAATCCCCGTCTGTTTCCCTCTGTTTAATGCCGTTGCCGGGACCACGGTGGCCGCGCGCCAGGGCGCAGGGAGCTCCGGAGGCGGCGGCGCGGCCCCGCGGCCAGCGCGCCCCCGGGTCCGCCTCGGGCCGGCCCTGCGGCCACCGCGGGGCCAGCGGCCTCCGTCCCGCGGCCGCGGCCCCCGCGCGCCCCTTCCGCCCCGCGCGGCCCTCCGGCTTCCTCCCGAGGTGTGTTTATAGCTGCTACTAGGAGAGACGCTACCCGGATTTTATTTTAAGAATTGGTGATGACTAACGAAGTTAAAAGGAGCTTAGGACAGAAAACAAGACTATTTTTAGATGGCTGTTGTTTCTGTGGATTATTGGGGCAAATACACCCGAGAAGCTTACCGTTTTCGAAGTCCCTTGGGGCGCCAGATCCGTTCTCCGGGCGCGCGCTCGGGGTATCCCGCCCTGCCCAGGATTTTCTAGAGACGAGGGCAGTCACGTTGCTTGGTTTTCTGTGTTTAAGCGCAACTGCTATGGAGACGCGGCCCTCGGTGCCGCGGGCGGCCGGGACAGGGTCAGGAGGACCCGAGAACGCGCCGTCCCTCAGGGCCATGCTGCGTCCTGCCGCCCCGGGAGCCCCCGGGGTCCGCAGCGAGGCGCGCCGGGCCTGCGGCCGCCCACCCTCCCCGGGGCTTCCGCGCTGGCCGGGGCTCCGGGGCCCACCCTTTCCTCTAACTCAGTGGGCACACCCAGGTGCCCCTGGTTGCTCAGGAGAAGCGCTGCAAACGCCTGCGAGTTACGTGCTCTTGCTGGGTCCCCATTCTGAGCCCGGGCGGGGACTATCAAGCTTCCGTCGTTAGGAGCGCCCTGCGCACCTGATGCTCTCGGGCAGGTGTGGGTCCTTCCCAAGGGCGCCTGTGAACCAGCCTGGGAGAGGCACACGGGCTGAACAGAGGTGCTGGGGAGCGTGCTCGGGGACCTCGGCATTTAGCCAGGGCGTGGAGATTGGCATTAAGAAATCAGAATTATGGAGCGGTTATTTACTTTTAAGTAAACCGCTGAGATTTTTTTTTTTTTAAAGCTAGTGCAAGTAACCCTCACAGCTGTGGCTGCAGTTGAGAAAGAAGGGGTCCCCTACGATTATACTCCTGTGCCAGCACATTCAGACTTTCAAATTTGGGGTCTTCTTAGAGAGCCTGAATTTGGGGTTCAGAGAGTCTACCCTGTGCTTTTACCTGTGAAACATCTCTTTACTGCACCCCCACCCACGGAACCCTGCAGAGGCCTTCTCCTCTGTCCCTCTGTCAGCCTCGGCTGACCGGCCATTCCGAACCCCACTAGCAGATCCGAAATCTCGGCCATCAACCGGCCGGCCAACGTCCCTCCTGGGACACACGCCCAGGGCATCAGGACGAGGCCACCCTGCTCAGCATGACACCTGATGGCCTTCCCCTCCGTGGCTGGAGCAGTCACGCAGGGACCCCCTCACTGGGAAACCAGCCCCAGTGACTGCTCCCTATCACCGGGGGGCTGGTGGTGGCTCCCCGTGCCTCCATTTAGTCAGTCCCCAGAGCTGTCCTCCAATCCACCCACTCCTGGGGTCCTGATGGCCCCTCTGATAAGCCTGCCCACCTGCCTAGCCCCTGCTGGCTGCCTCCAGTGTGGTGGCCTCTGGAGCCCAGTGTGGGTCTCTGTGGACAGTGTCTCATGCACGCTGGGACAGAAGGTACACCCTGCAGGGGTGGAGTGTTCTGCAGATGATTGGCAGGCCCAGTGGGTTTCGGGTATCGATCAAGCCTTCTCTTTCCTGTCGATCTTCTGTCTGGTTGTTACATCCATTATTGACAGTGGGGTACAATCTATTTCTCCCTTCATTCCATCAGTTTTTGCTTTATATATTTTAGAGCTCTTTTGTTAGGTGCACATATGTTTATAATTGTTATGTTTTCCTCATGGATTGTCCTTTTTATCATTATGAAATATCCCTCTTTATCTTTAATAACTTTTTGTGTTAAAATCCATTTTTTCAGACATCAGTACAGCCACTCCAGCTTTCCCACAGTTTCTCTGGGCATGACATATCTCTTCTACCCTTTTAGTTCATTTATACCCTTAAATCTAAAGTGTGTCATCTGTAACTAGCTTAAAGTTGGATTCTTTTTTTTTTTT